CACATCCACATCCGCAGCAGTTCCTGTATCATTGAATGAACACATTAAGCAATAATTCTCAGCCATAAAGCATTATGGGTCGTTCCTGTTATTGTGCAGTCTCTTATGTTGTGCTGATTAAGCCAGTAGCATTACATTATTTTGTGCCTGCAAAGGAAAAATGCAGCCAGCGTGTGTCAGAAAGGCCCTTATTCTGTGGAAGGGCGCCTTGGCACCCAGTCTCTGGTGTTGAAATACGCAAAGGTGTGTGAAATTAGAGGCCTCATCCTTTTGAGTTTTGAGTAAGCGAAACAACCGGGAGCTCAATCTGTAAAGCTGAGAGGCTCCTGTGTAATCTGACATGCTTGTTTTAATTGCGTCTGTTTAGTAATGGTGCTTGTGTAAGTCGGCTAGATAATCTGACTTGTTTCCTGAGAACGGAACTGCTGGCTGCCTGGTTTTCCTCCTCACTATATGATTGGTGGTGTCTCCTTGTATTTGTCTTAATTTTTGTTGGGTATCTTGCTGTCGTTATGTCTGGTCCTATTTGTTTATAGCAGAAGCAAATCCGGCGCCCCAAGGGCTATTAAAATACTTCAGGAAAGAATCTCATTGGCACTTAAATGATAAAAATCCAAGTGCGTTTGGTTTGGCCTTTGAAATTATACCGAGTGAAATATGAAGGGCTCTTTCAGTCACTGTAGTTTTGCCTAACGGGCATTGGTGATGTACCTGTTTGTACCTCTCTGCAAACGTTTCAGAATCACATTTCTTGCCAAATACTGTTATATAGAAGGAATTTACTTTGGGATGTTGTGCAGGACATGACAAGAAAATAAATTATGTAAATAAAGTGCCTCGTGTGGACAATGGGGGTAGTGTGAGGTTGGTTACATGGGCTGTGGGGTGGAATGTGCTGTCTATAGTCTTCAGGGAAATTTTGTTTTTAAGTTCAGAAAGAAGAATGCTATGTTTTCTCTTATGATTATGACTGAGGCCATAATTTTTATAAAGTATTGCTCAGTGTTGAGTTTTCTGCAGGGAAATGCTGTGGTCGTGACCCTCCCACCTCCACTGGCAGCTTGGTCTATGAAGGGAACACTAGTTGTAGCGTAAATAGGATTGGGGGG